CAATTAGCTATATGTGTGCATCCACGGTGTAATGAGGTCATTTCTCGTACGTCGATCAATTGAGAATACTCTATCCATTGTATATAGGCATCCTTCCTATCCTCCACATTACTCCACGACTCCTTAATGAATGAATCCAAAGACTTGTTGCCAGTCGTCCAATCAACAGGTCTTGGTACTTTACAATTGAAACAGAATGCATTTATCTCAGGGTATAATGGTCGTGTACACGCCAGACATAATCTATCGTTAACTTTAAGCAGACAATACTTCTGTTCACTTGCATTGTATGTAAATCCGATGGTAACGGTAAGAATATATGGATGCTCATCACATAACTAGTGGAAATGACACATAAGTCAATATTTATCTAAACAATGGATAAAGATATCATGTTCGTATTTGATGGTCACCTTGTCATAATCTGTCTCATCTGTTATCTCAAGCGGAATCAATTTAACAGTAGTGTGAGTAGGTAGACCATACAAGCGTCTATATCCATATGTCGTATCAATACAATCGTATGGAATCCATTCCAAATAGGCATCATTTGGTGAGTTTGTTTGTAATTGAGATTTCTTAATAAACTCATCGAGTTGCTTATTGTTGCAGTCCATGCATTGGATAATTGTTTATGGCCACAAATGCACCACACAGGACTACATCGGAGTATTCCACATGCAGAGCAGAATCCATATCGAGAATAACAGTGGTAAAAGCGTTTATCAGCAACCAAGTAATAGCTACCGTCATACTCGGTAAAACCCTGTATTAGTGCGTTGCGCTTCTTAAGCCATATAGAATATCTTTTGAAGTTGTTGCTATTACTATCGTGCTTGTGTGTCGGAAATGAGTATATTTTAGCAAATTCACTCACAGAGGTTGGTGTGCATATTTCATCGTTTCCAAGTAGTAGTAACATTATCTTGTCTCTACCAAAATATGGTTGCTTGCTCATAGCGTAGTAGACGTTGTCAATTTGAGTTGCCCTTATATCAGTGATTTCCGAGCAAGAAATCCATCCAGCAAAACTCGCATGAACTGTTAATTCGTGTTTATATTTATTTTCTAAGGAAGCTTTAACCAAGTTGTCAATTGCTGGATTGTGCATATCCTTGACTAACGCTAACGACATGGTTTGAATAAAGAAAAAATTTTTTCCTAGATTCACAACATTTATTGGGGTGGCGTTCATTTGCCCGACGGTTAGCCCGACAGTTATTTGCCCGACAATCATTTGCCTTGTAATGCCTTGTTATTATCACCAATAATTGTCAAATACGGCAAATGATTGTCGGACGGGCAAATAACTGTCGGGCAAATGAACCGGACCCCAAATAATACATGATCACATATAATTACCGGAAAGCAGCCCTTTGAACAGTGGATATCGCAAAGGAAATGTTAGTCCGCAACATTCCGCAAAGCTAGCAGCTAGGGAGCTTGGAAAGTCGGTTTATCTGGTTGAGGAATTTAGCATGTGCCTAAGAATACTTGTATTGTGCGTGCATACAGCTATGGAACAAATGATGCAGAACGATGATGCCCAATATGTAGCACAATAAATGTTATACCTGCTAAGTCAACGAATGTGCTGCAGCATTTTTATTTGTCCTGACAACAATTATAGGTCTTGTTCATAGTAATAAAGAAAAAATTATGGTAAGAGAAATAACATTCAGGCCCATAGGATAAGCGAAGAGAATCCGTAATTACGCGTTTTAATTAAAAAAAAAGTCGTCCAGTCAACTACACTCTACCACTTGCGCTATTCTTTCCTGAATAATAAAAAGTCTGATTGTGTCTCTTCCCGAAATTTGCCTTATTGTTACCGTTAACATTAAATGTCAAACACCCACGTTGATTTTATTGTATATTTTCCATTTTGTCATATTATTTTTCTATCCACTCTCTATTAATGTTATTTAGAATCTGCGTAATTGGAATCAATGTGATCACAAAGAGCAACAGTGAGCCTGACATTTTCTCAATAACATTTTTCATCGTCTAGTAAATTTTACTTTATCCATGACCTTAACCTTATATGTCAATGAGATCACATTGATGAATGAATAACTCGTCATGCGATTTCCATACTAAGAGCTACAGTGGCCCGATGTCCACTGTCGGACATGACTACTACGCTGCTGCACAGTTGCCCGGAAGTGACGTTTTGATTGTAAGTTTGCTTACATTTTATAGTTATATCGTGATCTTCCGTCTATTAATCTCTCAATTGGCTATCTATCTATTTTTCCAAACTCATACACCCAATTTTATCGAGTCAAATGCTCTTTACTCCAAAAAATCCGTTAGTAAATTGCTTGTCTGCTTTGTTGCTTTATCGTTAAAATTTTCCCATAAAAAGTAATCGGAACTTCCTACAATCGTGATATGCACAAATACTACAGCCTTAAGTATACAATCACGAGTGGCATAGCCTCCCAAAAATAATATTTCTAGTTATACTGTATTTTAATTTACGTGGCTCGCATATAAACTACAGCATTTTGATTTATGTTATCTGGAAACTTAAAGTAAAACAATTTATAAGAGAAACGTGCTTTACATACGTCTATGATTTTAACTAGCTTATTATTATGTCAGTTGAAATTAAAAATAAAAATAAATTTTAACCAGACGTAAATACTTGAACAACTATGACATCAGCTCAAACATTAATTCTCGAACAACCATGACGTTAACTTGTTTTATTGATGATAGAATTTATACGATGTCTAATATAATAGCTATTACGCATTTAATATACATAAGCAAAATCAATTAATGCTTTTTTCCACAATCCTATGCTCACTTCTATACATAATATTGCCCGACATAACTAATAGGCAATTTTTTAGCTAAATTAATATCACTGGTAATAAAACAATGCTTTTACACATTTTTGTAATTACTAATAATAAAAATAATAAAGCAGAACAAAGAAAACATTAGAGGAAAAATCAACAACCACTACAAGCGGGATTCAAACAACAGTAGCCAATTGTGGCGGTTGTGGTACCGTCTTAGAAAAAAAAATAGTCTCGGCGTTTGAACTGATAAAAATAATCGTTCAAAAGAGGTTCCGCTTTTAATCGGACAAGCCAGGCTTCTAGGAATTCGGGAAAATTCACCAGTAAACGAATTATATGAAGTTTGGCCATTTGCATTACTGAAAAGAATGAGAATTTTTGCGTCGTCGGGAAATAGCAAGTTGGCCTGCAACGATAGGATCCGATGATTACGTCGAATGTTCGTAAAGCAGGGTTTGAAGGACATGATCCAAAAACACTAGTTCGTTTGGTTGTTGGTGCGGAATAGCATTGATTGCTGAAATCGTTGATTTAATATTTAGCAAAGCCGTGACTCGAAACCTTCTTTTTTACTTTTTGTGGCTACGAATAATCTGTAATCAAAGCAAGCCAAAACGCTACCATTTATAGGAAAAAATGACTTTATTAATTAATATTTTACGCGATATTAAAAAGAGAGAGAATAGCTAAACAAAGTGCAATAGAACACGATTGAGGAAATATAGCATTGTATTACTCAGCTTGGGATGGATGAGCCGTTATTGGCTACTGAGTATCGATGATCAATTACGATGATATTATTGCAACCGTACAGAAGAAGAACAAAGATGAAAGTGATAAGGAATATGAATCACAGCCTATAATTTTATTAAAAGCAGCTTTAGAAAGTGTGGAAAACCTAATGCCCAGTGGCTTCGATAGGAAAGCATTATCGGTTCTGCGTCATTGAAATCAGAAATTTCGCGCTATCAACGAATGGATTAAGTCAATCACAAATTGATAGTTTCATCAATGTTGGCACATAATAAAATTAACAGTTTCTATGAATTCCAGTGTTACAATATTAATGGTTAGCGTTAGCGAATTTTTTTAATTTACTATATGTAATTGCTTTCACCATCAGTTTTCCGAGCTTTGACTGTATTCATAAACGCGTATTGTCGTACATTGTTTCTCTATATTGATGAAACCGTGTATATGCTGTCAGCTGTTAATGCAACACCATTTATTTGCAACATGCGAATGCTGCGAGTTTTCGTTGTCGCTCTCATTACTACTAGTAATGCACTACTGTATTGCAAGGAAGTCTGAGTTTGAACACTACGTACTTTTCGCATGTTTATTCACAAAACCTGAAACGTGTTATGGTAAGGAAATAAAATTCGCAAGGTTCACTCACTATCTCAATATCGGTATTACTATGAATTGAACTCATACTATCGTGGCTGCATTTGTTGACTTATTCCTGTTCACTGATGCTTGCATCTGGATGTCAATTAGCACAACTGCCATGAACTGGCCAAAATCGTTACATGTCTCAACGTGAAAACCAAGTTCTTCGGGCGGTTCGAAGCGAACGTCTATGAAAGGCAGGCTTTGCCGAAAAACTGATTGTTATCAGACAACTGTCATTGAAGACCTCTCGACACGGATAAATGATACAGCACAGGCTGATGTACTCAAGTCGAGTGCATTTAACCCCAGCTGAATATTATCCTAGAGAAATGAGATAGCACACAGGTTAACATCGTACGTTGGGAACTCAAGACTGACGTGTGGACGGCGAGAACAACGAACGCTCGTTATTCGTCATCATCACGTTCATATATTGTATATCGAATTCTTTCATTAACAGTGCGTTGTATATGTAGAGGGATTAACATATTTATTTCTTTTTAAAATCATATAAGTTTACTCCAGCCAGAATTTGATATTATCCGGCCAACACGCTATTGATTGACCATGTCTTCTTACCATTATTTCTTAACCTTGAATTTGCAAAAGGCCCAAAGCATAAAAGTTTCGTTGAACGTTTGACACGCGTACTCCAATTTGAATAAAATACACATACCTTATCCTTACAGCATAAATTTTCACCAAAAATGCAGATAGTCGTTGTCCGTAACGTCTTTCCTTGCTTAAGAAAAATGCTTCGACTCAAAACGTAGTCCGTTGGCACAAAGTAAATCAATAATAATCTTCTTCGTCTTCTTCATCAGAGTCACCACCAAGATAATCTGATTCAATAGAATCATCGTCCGCTCTATCCCGAAATCTGTAATATATCATGTTGGACATTGTAATCAAGTACATTAAATTGGGAAACCAACAAAAGCGAAAAAAAACAAACCTACCTATCAAAATCGACCTTATTCGAGACAGCAGTTTTTTCGTTTACTTTATGCAATCGAGACGCCTACAAGTTACCATACACAGATTCAGCCGTTGGTACGGATCAACCCATTTCATGGCGGTTCTCATAATATGTACGTCACCAGTCCCCTTCACACTTTTATCTTCTCACCCTAAATTGCTTCTCTTCAATAGCCGCGGCTTCATCGACGGATAATAGTTTTGTCTTTACAGCCTTGTAATATTTTGGTCCCGTTCCAATCCCACTCATTGTTGAGTTTAATGACAACTTTCTCAACTGTGATTCCAAGTCATTAGAAAACTCTTCATTGGGATCGTTGTCCTTCTTTCTCATCGACAACTCGTCATGAGACGAACGAGTAACCGTGTCGAATTTTTGTAGTCGTTCTCGTATGCGTGCATTTGTAGCTCGTAGTTTCTCTCCGCCGTCTTTTAACTTTGAACATAGCTCTCTATCGAATATGGCGGAAATAGTAACAGACATGTTAAAGACCAGAAGGTTTTAAAAACTCATACGATACGCACTTGTCACTCAACAGCTTTTCGTTCTTTTCGAGCAACGCTGTTAATTCCGTCCTTGTCTGTTGCTCTAACCTAATCGGTTTTGAAGAGGCAGGTATCAAGTATGGTCGTCCGAGTACTAGGGCTTCTTTTTCAGGAAAACCGAAAGAAAGCGTCTGCGATATATCTTCATATATGAATACAACACAAAAAGAGCGTAAGCACAAGAAGAAAGAACGTACGTGAAACAAGAGGAAACTAAACCTCTCTGTAATTTCTGCATTTTTCGACTGAAAAGTTGCGAGTCAACAGTAAAAAGGGATCGAAATAGTGAATATTATACTCGACATACGTGATGGGCCAAGCGGAGCAGAACGTGACCTGATTCTTGCAATTACATTGGTCAAATTTGAATGAAAAATTGCTACTGTCACACTATTAGTATTTCCATTCGCGATAGTTAAATATTATCATACAGAGCGCCGACGTATAGCATCTTAAAGCAAGCAGGCCTTTTTGTCAATAATTTATCAGAAATTAATAAGAAGCTTCTAATGCATTATTAAGCAGTTGCATTTAAGCAAGCTTACAAAAAAAAAAAAGCTCTTAATTTCGTGTGTGTAAGAGACTGACATACAATAACTAATAAAGTCAAGCATCTCATAAGATTTGCCAAATCAGAGGAAAAACTAAAAAGAAAAAAGAAATTAACAGAAGAATTTTATAAGTAAGCAAATTGTTGCTTATGAATCAATATAGCTTTATCTCTTTACGTATTCTGGTTTTAACTTACATTAAACTTCGATGCTTGCTGTGCTCTCACACTCTGCTATGATACCATTATACATGTCTAATAGATGTATATATTGTTTTCTCTTCCTTTCTAGTTTCCGAATAAGCTCATCTTTTTCTTTTAACTCGGTACAAAGTCTACGATTTTCCCACCTCAAGTATCGCCGGCTGAGCCGATCTGACCTGCGAAAAAACTCTTCCCGATCGTATTCTAACTTGTTACATTCTGCATAAAGTCTTTCTAACCGTTTATTATTCGCGATGCTCGGCCAAAGGTCTTTTTCCGTGACAGAATATTTGCTGATAACGGCGTTATAACCCTGTTTCATTAAGGCATCTTCTCTAGAGGGAAGTCGCTCTCGCATTACCAACTTTTTACCGGAATGGCGGAGGGCATTGTTATTATATGTTAATACCCGGGGTGATAACTGGCGAGAAAAAGAAAGCATCACGACTATTGCGAGGAACTTTATTCACTCAGTTTAAGCAAAACTACCCAGATTTTGTTGCAGGAGCGTGACTTCTGTATACATCTCCCGCCAGTTAAAATCTTTGTTCGATTTCTCGACTGGCTAAATCAGGAATCGCTTGGGAGGACAATACTACACGAATCTTCAAAATTTCTCTATACGCTTTTAACAGTTATAGTTATTGATCTTACGATAATGCCTCCGTGTACTAATAATTGCACGATTAATAATTGGGATGATATATAAACTTGTTCTATGTTTAAACTAATACAGTACTTAGTCGTAGATACAGTAATGATCATGTGATCGATACTTCGTGATCTTGCAGATACGTTCAATAATGCGTATAATTGTCTAATAAGTACAAAGCATAGTTAGACAGGAATATAACGACTGATTAAGGACTCTTCATATTTAGTCTACTCAATAAGAAAATCAGGTATTATGAAATAGCATCCTGATTTAGCCAGTCAGCGAATTAGCCAGTCAGCGACGATTGTCACGGATTATCTTATGGTTATGGATAGTTTTAATTTCTTGGTATAATAAAGCTATTTCCCCATTCCAGAGCTTGCCGTAAGATCTCGTTGGTCGCGTCGTGGACGAATTAGTCACATCAAAATTTTGCTATACTATTTATATTTCTCACCCTTTTGTATTAGCTTCGATAGCGAGCGGTGTTGGTGACATATTTTCTCCAGCAACTATTAACAATTTTCGCATTCGATAAATTCTTCACTAAATAAAGGGGTTGGCCAGGATTTCAACGGAGAGAGACCCGGGAAGTTTTTCTTTCCTACAAGGTAAAGCCGAATTCGTAGCGGCATTTTGAAGGCAACTGATAGATTTCATATAAAGGTGTTGTATGTCAGATCGGAATTTATGTCAGATCGGAATCTATGTCCATTCCGAACTGACATATGTCAGATCAGAAT